TTATTATAGCTTTGTAGTATAGTTTAAAGTCAGGTAGAGTAATGCCCCCAGCTTTATTTTTTTTTTGCTCAGCATTGCTTTGGCTATTCGTGGTCTTTTGTTATTCCATACAAATGTCTGTATAGTTCTTTCCATTTCTGAGAGAAATGTCACTGGAAGTTTGATGGGGATTGCATTGAATTTGTATATCACTTTGGGTAATATGGCCATTTTCACTATATTGATTCTTCCAATACAAGAGCATGGGATGTCTTTCCATCTTCTTGTATCCTCTCTAATTTCTCTCAGAAGTGGTTTGTAGTTCTCATTATAGAGATTTTTCACATGCTTGGTTAGCTCTATTCCTAAGTATTTTATTTTTTTGGTGGCTATTTTAAATGGGCAGGCTTTGACTTCAAGATGGCGATGGGTCTGGAGCGGCCATGCCAGGAGACAGCGCAACCCTGAGAAGTGTGCGCTGTGATACCAGAGTACTATTTGCATTTCCAAGAGCAACAAAAAACGAATAAATCTTTGAACAACTAACCTACAACGAAAAACAAGCAACTACAGGTTCAAGGTTTTAGGGCTGTCACAAAAGAAGACTCCTCAGAGTGCCCAAGCCATGCTGCGGGTTCAAGCGAGCAGCCCAAGACAACAAAGGCCAAGTAAGCCAGCAGAGATGACACAGAAACGGAGTGGAAGGCACCGGCAAGCTCTGTGAGTCACCCCCAGTCCAGCCCCACTGAGCCCCACTTGCGGGGCAGAAGCCCGACTGGTCCCCGCCCGCCTGGCTCCCACCTACCACACCAGGCTAGGTGCCCACAACAGTGCTGCCTCTATTTTCTTGGGTGGGGGCAGAGATGGCCGGCTCAGATCAGGCAGGCCAGCCATCTTTGCTTGGCACGGCTCCTCACTGAGAACCCCTAACTGATTTCTGGTTGGGAGAGGGGAGCCCGGAGCGCTCTGGAGCTAGATTGAAGCTACCGGAGAGCTCTCCCGGAGCGCGCCAGGGTCGACCCGTGCTGGGGGGAGTCAAAGAGGAACTATGTGCTGTGGGACCCTCCCCGAGGAGCTCACACCCTGCAGTTGGAGAGACTAGATACCTGAAACTCTTCCTGGGCAGGGCGGGGCAGGGCACAGCTTTGATGTCTCAGCTGATAGATGAGGATTGCAGAAGACACGCCTCAACCCTGTTC